CGGGGGAGGGGGGCTGTGGGGCTGGACCCACAAGTGGGGGGGCTGGACCCACAGACGCTCACCCGGACCCACAGACGCCCTTCTCGGCCCCAAAACGGCTCTGCCCGCCCCACAAGTGACAGTCCTGGACCCACAGATGGTTCTCCAGCCCCATAAGTGCCCACTCCAGCCCCATAAGTGCCAGCCCCGGCCCCTGCCCCACATCTTCCCGCACGTGCCCATATTGGGGTCATAGAGGGAGATGATGATGATGAACTTGGCCTCAATGGCCACCCCCAGGTTGTTCCTCGGGGTCCCAGCCCCACATCCTGCCCCATAGCTGCCCCATAGCGTGCCCCACACCCTGCCCCACATCCTGCCCCATAGCCTGCCCCACATCTTCCCGCACGTGCCCATATTGGGGTCATAGAGGGAGATGATGATGATGAACTTGGCCTCAATGGCCACCCCCAGGTTGTTCCTCGGGGTCCCAGCCCCACATCCTGCCCCATAGCTGCCCCATAGCGTGCCCCACACCCTGCCCCACATCCTGCCCCATAGCCTGCCCCACATCTTCCCGCACGTGCCCATATTGGGGTCATAGAGGGAGATGATGATGATGAACTTGGCCTCAATGGCCACCCCCAGGTTGTTCCTCGGGGTCCCAGCCCCACATCCTGCCCCATAGCTGCCCCATAGCGTGCCCCACACCCTGCCCCACATCCTGCCCCATAGCCTGCCCCACATCTTCCCGCACGTGCCCATATTGGGGTCATAGAGGGAGATGATGATGATGAACTTGGCCTCAATGGCCACCCCCAGGTTGTTCCTCGGGGTCCCAGCCCCACATCCTGCCCCATAGCTGCCCCATAGCGTGCCCCACACCCTGCCCCACATCCTGCCCCATAGCCTGCCCCACATCTTCCCGCACGTGCCCATATTGGGGTCATAGAGGGAGATGATGATGATGAACTTGGCCTCAATGGCCACCCCCAGGTTGTTCCTCGGGGTCCCAGCCCCACATCCTGCCCCATAGCTGCCCCATAGCGTGCCCCACACCCTGCCCCACATCCTGCCCCATAGCCTGCCCCACATCTTCCCGCACGTGCCCATATTGGGGTCATAGAGGGAGATGATGATGATGAACTTGGCCTCAATGGCCACCCCCAGGTTGTTCCTCGGGGTCCCAGCCCCACATCCTGCCCCATAGCTGCCCCATAGCGTGCCCCACACCCTGCCCCACATCCTGCCCCATAGCCTGCCCCACATCTTCCCGCACGTGCCCATATTGGGGTCATAGAGGGAGATGATGATGATGAACTTGGCCTCAATGGCCACCCCCAGGTTGTTCCTCGGGGTCCCAGCCCCACATCCTGCCCCATAGCTGCCCCATAGCGTGCCCCACACCCTGCCCCACATCCTGCCCCATAGCCTGCCCCACATCTTCCCGCACGTGCCCATATTGGGGTCATAGAGGGAGATGATGATGATGAACTTGGCCTCAATGGCCACCCCCAGGTTGTTCCTCGGGGTCCCAGCCCCACATCCTGCCCCATAGCTGCCCCATAGCGTGCCCCACACCCTGCCCCACATCCTGCCCCATAGCCTGCCCCACATCTTCCCGCACGTGCCCATATTGGGGTCATAGAGGGAGATGATGATGATGAACTTGGCCTCAATGGCCACCCCCAGGTTGTTCCTCGGGGTCCCAGCCCCACATCCTGCCCCATAGCTGCCCCATAGCGTGCCCCACACCCTGCCCCACATCCTGCCCCATAGCCTGCCCCACATCTTCCCGCACGTGCCCATATTGGGGTCATAGAGGGAGATGATGATGATGAACTTGGCCTCAATGGCCACCCCCAGGTTGTTCCTCGGGGTCCCAGCCCCACATCCTGCCCCATAGCTGCCCCATAGCGTGCCCCACACCCTGCCCCACATCCTGCCCCATAGCCTGCCCCACATCTTCCCGCACGTGCCCATATTGGGGTCATAGAGGGAGATGATGATGATGAACTTGGCCTCAATGGCCACCCCCAGGTTGTTCCTCGGGGTCCCAGCCCCACATCCTGCCCCATAGCTGCCCCATAGCGTGCCCCACACCCTGCCCCACATCCTGCCCCATAGCCTGCCCCACATCTTCCCGCACGTGCCCATATTGGGGTCATAGAGGGAGATGATGATGATGAACTTGGCCTCAATGGCCACCCCCAGGTTGTTCCTCGGGGTCCCAGCCCCACATCCTGCCCCATAGCTGCCCCATAGCGTGCCCCACACCCTGCCCCACATCCTGCCCCATAGCCTGCCCCACATCTTCCCGCACGTGCCCATATTGGGGTCATAGAGGGAGATGATGATGATGAACTTGGCCTCAATGGCCACCCCCAGGTTGTTCCTCGGGGTCCCAGCCCCACATCCTGCCCCATAGCTGCCCCATAGCGTGCCCCACACCCTGCCCCACATCCTGCCCCATAGCCTGCCCCACATCTTCCCGCACGTGCCCATATTGGGGTCATAGAGGGAGATGATGATGATGAACTTGGCCTCAATGGCCACCCCCAGGTTGTTCCTCGGGGTCCCAGCCCCACATCCT